TTTCAAAAGTGGCATTTCCAGTTCATATCTGGCAGTGCTTTTAACTACCTACATTGCTGTTTTCCAAAACCTTAAATATTGTGCTTCATAAATTTTGAAGTTATAAAATTCAGTGATAGTTGTCATTTTGAGATTTTCCCTTTATAACATTTTAGTGGAATTTGTCACAATTTGTTATATAAGGAAAGTTGAAACTTTTTCTCAAAAAAGGACATACAGCATTTATTTTATTAAAGTGAGATTTTTACATACACATTTACAAAAATGCACTTGTAAATTTTTTAATATGTGATTCTGAAATTCCAAATACAAAGTATTCAATACAGAGCACAAAGTATTTATTTTTAACTTCAGTTTATGTATATGAGTGTTTTGCTTTCATGTATGTTAAGTGCATCCATGTCCTTTAATGTCTGTGGAAGCCAGAAGAGGGTGTAAGATCCCCTGGAACTGGAGATATGGAACACTGTCATGCGGGTGTTAGGAAACTGAACCTGGGTCCTCTGCAAGAGCAACTAGTACTCTTAACCAGTGAGCCATCCCTCCATCCCAAGATAAAATTTTTAGGTGTATTTACAAGGAATTGAAAACAGTGGCATTGCTTTAAATGCCCTTACATTTTCTAACATTCTTACGTACACCAAATGATGTCATTCAAGAAAGATGACGTGTCGTCAGATGTCCTAAACTGTAACTGGCTACTAGAAAATTGGTCACGTACAAGGAAATTGTCCCAAATCTGACTCTTTGTTGTAAGAAAAATTGTCTCAAATCTGATTCTTGATTCAACTGAGAAAGACTTACTCCAAATGAGTACCTAACGGGTATGTACCTTTGCACATTAAGTCCCAGTTCATTTTCTTTTGAAATCAGTGCTGCATCAGTGCAGCAGTTTTTCCGGTCTCAACATCAATGGTAGGGTTGTGAAAGCAAACAGCTGTCCCTCTGTTATTTCATCACATGCTGCAGACTGTCACTAGATCTTATAAATTCAGACTGAACAGGCTGAAGTTCAGCTGAGGGTCAAACTCCCAGAAGTAGCATGAAATTGTGCGTTTCTGGAAATAGAGTTTAATCTCTATGGCAAGGGTTGTAAAACAGGATCATCTGGGCTTTCAACCATTTTTCTTCCGCTCCTGCTAGTCAAATACTATTTGTACCTTTTCCTGATTGAAAGTAAAAGCCATCAGTTGATTAAGAGAATGGGGGAAGCACTGTAACTGTAGCTTACCCATGGATTGGGACTTGATTTACTGTTTTGCTTCACTGACATACTCAATAAATTGCAATTAGTCTTTGCAGAGTTAATATTTAGAGCGGTTACTGAAGTGTGATTTGAAGGAGTCAGTCATGCAAACCAGGGCAATATACTGATGCACATGTGGTACATACTTCGGTGATACTATTTCTGTTTGATTTGATGTTCTCTCTACACAGCAATATTTTAGCAATTTAAAAACCTCTTTTATAAATCACAACATAAAAATTCCTTTTTATAATATCATTTAGGAAAGCAGCAGAATTTATGCTTAGAGAGCTAAGAAGATATTATGAAGCTACATTATATGACAATAGCGTTTCAAGGCGTTTTATGGATAGTGGTAATTATGTAATTATTCATTCCACAAATATTTTTGAATGATTATAGTGGTTATAGTTTTTGCATTCAAAGAAATACTTGCCTAATTGATTTTATTTTCTGACATAATGAGGAGATTAAGAAATACATTGTACACAAAATTGCCCAAGGTGCTGGTAACATATTTTTATTATACTATCACATTTGATATTGTCTGAATTTCCTTTATGTTAAGAGTTAGAATTTTGTTAGTCATTATATTTCCTGGTTTGGGGCTATTTTAGGGTATAGCTCTGATTAATTTGGGTCACATCTCTATTTTGGCTAGTTTGGATGTGGTTAATGGAGCTCTAATCTTTTTAAAGAACCAACTCCCTGATTAATTCTGTTTTGTTCTTTTAGTCTCCTAGTCTCTTTCTTTTTTTTCTGGCCTGGTCTTCATCAGTTCTTGCCATTTACTGCATTTTAGTTTGTCTTTTCTAGAGCCTTGATGTACCCCATTTGATTATCAATTTGAGATCTGTTTGAGTTTTTGCTGCAAACACAGCTGCCGACTTTTCTTAGGACTGCTGTGGTTGTAGCTTGGATATTCTACTTGTGTATTTTCTTAGGTTAACTTTGTTAGTATTTTTAGTTTTATTACACTATGGCAGAAAAGATGTAGGAAATTATTTCAATTTTTGATTTGTTTGTTAAAATTTGCTTTATGGCATATAATGTGATCAATTTTAGAAGAGGTTCCATGAACCACCAAGAAGAATATGTATGTATCCCCTGTTTGGTGAGATGTTCAGTAGATACATTTAAAACCAATTAATTGGGGCTGGAGAGATACCTCAGCAGTTAAGAGTTCTTGCAGAGGACCCCAGTTGAATTCCCAGCACTCACATGGTGGCTAAGAATCATCCAAAACCCCAGTTACAGGGGAATTCGATACTCTCTTCTAACCTCCATGGGCATTGTTAGACACAGGTGCACTTACATACACACAGACAATTAATTTATGGCATAAATTAGCTCTTATGTTTCTTAGTCGAATTTTACTTAGGAGCACCTATGGAGATTTGTGAGTAGGGTATCAAGTCTCCCAGTATTTCTGTGTCAGGACTTTTTTTTTTTTTTTTTTTCAATTGTTAGACACAGGTGCACTTACATACACACAGACAATTAATTTATGGCATAAATTAGCTCTTATGTTTCTTAGTCGAATTTTACTTAGGAGCACCTATGGAGATTTGTGAGTAGGGTATCAAGTCTCCCAGTATTTCTGTGTCAGGACTTTT